TGTAGATATATCTTAGTTATGTATATATATAATTTTATGTACAAAATATTAATTTATGATATTATTAGAATAGGACATGCGTTAATATGCGGGTAAATAATATAAAAATTAATAAAATTAATATTTAAATACTAATTAGTAACCCGTCAAATTTTAAAATACTATTTAACGTGGATCCTAAAACCAGTAGAAGTAAATTTCTATAATAATTTTCATTTTCTAATACATATCATGCAAATCCAAAAATATATATTGTTGAAATTTAAATCATATTCTTAATAACAGAGAAAATATATATTTTAACCCATTATGAATATTTATGATGATGTGATAGAAAATTAAAACAACTAAAATACAATATTATTAAATCTGAAAAGAGTAAATTTTATATTAGTAACCTCATAAAAATGATAAATAATGTTATGAACCATCACCTAAGTATATGATTGATAATTATATTTTATTAATGTCATCGTTTTATTTCTCATAGAGATTTATACCCGCGAAACTTTATAATATTAACTTAATAGTAAATATAATATTATTATTTTTTAACTTATATAATTTTTATATATACACTTGAAGAGTACTAATGGCGTCATAGGTCGAAAATTTTCATTTTTTTGTGATATTCTATAACTTTATATTGATAAAGTAAGTATTCTTATAGATTTTTTTTTGCATGGTTGTGTATATTTTTAAACTTTTAAATTGAGGTTTCTATAACTTTTCAAAAAAAATTTCCAATTTATTTACCTTCTTTTTTCATCATTCGACTTTTTTAATTATTTTAATTGAGATTTTTATTTTATATTTATTATTTGTTTATTTTATGGCTTATATCATGTTAATATTTTATCCTAAACTTTGTTTCTTAATTATTATTGATAATATTAGAAATTTTACTTTTTATTATTTGATTAGTAACTTGACAGTTTTTTAATTAATTTTAAGTTTTAACACATTCTTCATCTGATCAATATTAGATACATGTCGCGATCTCGTGAGTTATAATTTTGCTTACGTGTCATGCTCATATAAAAATGTATTGCGGTAAATATTTTTGATTTAAAATTTATAACGACTATAATTTGACAAATATAATTAGATTCGAATTTACGACTTGCACA